CACACACACACACACACACACACACACACACACACACACACACACACACACACACACACACACACACACAAATGCCTCTTGACTACTGGCTTGAAGGAGGGAGAGAGAGAGAGGGAGAGAGCGAGAGAACTGAAGGAGGGAGAGAGGTTGGAGTAAGCAGGAAAGGGATTGGGCAGAAGCTCAGGGAGAGCTGATGAGAACAGAAGAATAGATGCAAAGAGTAAAAGTTCCAGACTGCAGAGAAGAGAAGAAAAAGGGATGAGGAGTATACAGTATGAGAAAAACCAGGCGAGGACTAAAGGGGATACTGCTGCAAGACAGAGAGGAACTAAAGACTCCAGTAAGGTAAGAGGAAGAGGCAGTGTTTGAGGAAAAGAGGGATAGATGTGGAGAGGAAAGGGGAATTGGATGAATAGTCAAAGTGGAAGACATTAAGTTTATTTGTGAGCTAAAGAAACCGCCTAGCAAAGGCGTGTGAAGCAGAACTGGGCCACCTCAAGGACACATGTAGACACTCATGCACACACAGAGGCAGCAGTGTGTTTATCAGGACACAGAGCAGCAGGGATGAACTGAAGGGAAGTGCTTTTCGTGGGATTTTTCACAATTCAGACTGTTTCTCTTTCTGCATGTTAGCATGAGGCGAAAGTTTCTAAAGTTATGATCGACTTCCTTGTGAATAATTTGCTTTCATGTTCTATAAAATGTCTCAGCTCCTAAATTGGGAAATTTATTTTAGGTTACAATTAAGATAAAAAAAAAAAGCTAAAATGTTTTTGTTTATTATGAGCTGTGAAAAAAAGCCACTTTCTTTTTGAAACAAAGACCTGATTTTAAAAAGATGACATCATCAACTGTAATATGCTTTACTAGCAGGTCGATTGTAAGTGAAACAGTCTCTTTAGCCCCCCTGGGGCCCCTGGGGGTCCAGGAAGTTAACCCACTTCTGCTGCAGTGGAGCTGCTGTGTGGAGGCAGCAGCAGCAGCATCAGCAGCAGCATCAGCAGCAGAAGTGTTTACTCTGAGAGAAACTGTGTAACGAAAGAGAAGGAAGGTAAAATGAGGTAAAATGTACACGTGTGCTCAGCAACTATAAAAAGAAAACTGAAAAAAAAAAAAAGAAAAGCACACAGGTGAAAGTGAAACAGCCAGAGGATGTACAGTACAGAGCAGCTTGATGAAGCAGAAACACATGGCTTCACACATCAGGTAGAAGCCAGGGTGTGTATTTGTGTGTGTGTTTTATGCAGCGGTATGCGGGACTCGCACCCCATCCCTTGTGGCTCCACTCTTCTGTGCCATTTTGCATTTAAACACTGACTGTAATTCAGCTTCCTACAACTCTGACTGTTGTTCTTTTTAGCAATTTCTTACGACGTGCTCAGAGATTTTTCCAACTGTTTTATTGATGAGGCTGAAGTGGTGATCCCATCGAGGCATCATGTTACTGGGTGTTTGCTAAAATGATTCAAGCAGAGGAAAACAGTGTGCTTCAAAGTAATTTATGCAACGCTGCAGTCTCCTGCAATAAGGAAAAATACTAGACTGTAAGTAAGTTTTCACTATGTGACTAAGCAAAAGGGTTTGGTGTTGATTTAAGCTCTTTGGTTTGATTCAGCACTGATTAAGGAAGAGGAGGAAGCTTGAAATTGATCAATGATGGATGAATGCAGAGTGATTAAATAACCTAGCATATTTATACAAAAATGGTGGTGCGTTAAACGGCCAATATTATGTGTTTCTCAGGCAAAAATTTAAATACTATACCATAATAATGTATCTATGTCACCTTTAGCTTTTATTAAAATGCTATTTTGTGTTTAAATAGAAAATAAACTTATCTTCTCATCACTTCCTCTTCTAAACGCCTTGAAATTGGCCTCTGTCTCTTTAAGAACCTCCTTCTGCTTCCGTTTTGCCCATTTCGGTGCGGGGGGCTGCCATGATGCAGTTTACTTGGCATCTGAAAATACATTGTCTCGAAGGTATTTTTGATCTGAAAAGAGCGAGAGTGAGAACTAATGTTGAGAGATCAGCAGACAGTTAAGTTTCACTTTCACCCCAGAGCCTGCAGGAGTCATGGGCGGGGTGTTGAGGGGAGGGGGTGCGCTCTGCCATGAGGAAGTTCAGCTTAAAGACACGTCCCAGGGGCGTTTCTAGTCCCCACCTGTCGTTTTGCTCCTCAGCATGGCTGCCCAAAAACGCTGAAGGTTTTCTCAAACATGCATGAATGAGTCAAAGCTATGGAGGACCAAACCTATCATTATTGGAAATAAATGTATAAATATATAACTGGCGTATTAAAATAAATTATAGGGTCAAAAAGAAGTTTGACAAATAAATTATTGTGCCATTAAATCAATTACATCAATTATTTAGATATAAATGTGTATTTACATTTTAATTTTGAAGGATTATATTTTCTCTATGTGCTTTATCGCATATTTTTTGTTTATGTTTATTCATTACAAGTACATTTGTTGTAATTTGACTTTTCCAAGCCATTATTTTCTTCTTTCACATTTATCACCAATCACATATATTTAAAACATGCTTTTTCACCTAATAATATTTTATTTCTCAAATTATTTTATCGTTCTTTTTTTTCTTAAACACTGATATATTTTCTTCTATTATATTCCTTTGTTGTATATTTTTACCAAACACATTTCCCT